CCACATGGCAAAATGCAGGTTAATAAAAGCAGGTAATTTAAGTTATAAAAGCAAGAGAGACAAGCCTAGGCTATAGGCCAAGCTTTCATAATCAATAAATCTCCGTGTCATTATTTGAAGTCTGGTGGTTTCAGTGAGAAAATACTACTACAGATGATATGTATCAAACCAAAAATATCTAACCATCATATTATGAATGGTACAAACATAGGGAGATACTGTGGCACTTGGGTTTGTTTTATCTTGAGATGGCAGACTGGTTGGGTTTTTGTCAACTTGACACATTAAACCTGAGAATCAAGAGGAGAAAAAGACCAAATCCACGATTGTCCAGTTAAAGCAAGCTATATTTTAGGGTGCACTCTCAGGACTGGAGAGAGTAGCCCCTGCTGGCCTCTTGAGGTCCTTTGTACAGGACAAAGTGTTCCCAGTGGCAAGAGAGTCAGCTGTTAGACACCGAAAGATACAATGAAAGGCGTAGAACTTTAAGACAATTCTGAAGCCATTTCTGACAATTCTGAGCCCTCTCAGTTTCAGCAGTAATGCTCCCTCCCTTCCCCCCTCCCCCCGGGAATCAAGGACCTAACAGCTAAACATGCACGTATGTTCTCCAGAAATTGGGCCAAGATAACCTTTAAGATGTTGACTCAGTTCAGCAGGGCACATACAACACCCATGGGGAAAAAAAAGATGTTGACTCAGTTCCTGAACAATTACCCACACACATATGTTTTGACTCAGTCCCTGGGAAATGGGGTCAAAGTGACCTCTTACCTCATCTGATCTGGCAACCGGTCTCCAGCCAATTATTGCCAATAGCCCTTTTGAATAAGCCAATCATAATAGTCAAAGAACAACCCACACACACCTCCCTGCTTCTATGGCTTTTTCCTTTAAAAGTAGCCAGTACCAGGTATTCGGGGTCTCTCGGCTTCCTGAATGCTGGGGGACCCTGTCATGGCAGAATTAATAAGATCCTCATGCTTTTACATCAGCTGTGGTGTGAGAGAAGGTCTCTTGGGGGCGACTCCTCCTCAGTGATTGGACTCTAGGGTCCAACAAAAGGGAAGGAACGGGGTAAGATATACAGCCCGTGACTTGGGTTGTAGGTTTAGTGTAGGTTGAAAAGCATATTTTGCAGTTTATATCAGATCTAAGAAACGGGAACTTGTTCTCAATTACAAATAGAAGTCTTAATTTGCAAGGACTTAAACACAGGACAAACAGGAACTTATTCTTTTACTACAAACAGAAACTTTAACTTGTGAAGGACAAACAGGAGCTTCTTCTCCACTGTCTGATCTGCAAACAGAACCCTTAGCCTATTTTGGCCTTCCATTAACTATATATATTAAATATACACACATATAAAATTAAGGTATATTGTTCTTGTTTCGGTCCCACACACTACCTAGACGTATCTGGGAAGAGGAGACAGGGCTACACTATGTATGGCTGGCTGTCCTGGAATTTACTAGGCACACTAGTAACTCATAGATCACTTGTGTCTGCCTCCAGAGTCCTGGTACTAATTAAAGGCATATACCACCACACCTGGCAAAGAAGAGGGACTTGTTTTTATTTGGTTTGGTTTTGCTTTCAAGACAAAATTTCTCTGTGTAGCTTTGGAGCCTGACCTGGACCTCTGTAAACCAGAGCTAGCCTCAAACTCACAGAGATCCGCCTGCCTCTACCTCCTGAGTGCTGGGATTAAAGTGTGTGCCACCACCACCTAGCAAAGAGGGACTCTTAATTAAGAAAATGCCTCCATCAGATTGGGCTGTAAGCAAGCCTGCAGAGCGTTTTCTGGATTAATGATTGATGTGGGAGGGTCTAGCCCATTGTGAGCCAGGTTATCCCTGGGCAGGTGGTCCTGTGCAAGCCATGCGAGCAAATCAGTAAGCAGCACCCCTGTATAAGCTCTGCTTCACCTCCTCTTCTAGGCTGCTGCCTTGCATTCCTTCCCTGAGTTCACTCAGTGATGGAACATGACCTGAGAAATAGCAGATGAAATCAACCCTTTCCTTCCCAAGGAGCTTTCGGTCATGGTGCTTTATCACAGCATTGGAAACCCCGATCAAGACAGATGATGCTATACCCAGGCTGAGCACATAAGCCCTAGGCTCTGGGAATCTGCCTCCGCCTCACAATTGGCTGGGACTACAGGCCGGTGCCACTCTTTCCATCTTTGTTTGATTATTTGTCAACTATTATCCAATCCATTAACGAAATGACTCATCTCTAGGAGGAGGTGGTGCGTGCCTTTAATTCCAGAACTTGGGAAGCAGAAACAGGTGGATCTCTGTGAGTTTGAGGCCAGCCTGGTCTACAGAGCGAGTTTCAGGACAGTCAAGGCTGTTACACAGTGAAAGCCTGTTTGAAAAACAAAACAGCCAATAAAACAGAAAAAAAGAAAAATCAAAGAAAGAAATGAAACATCATTAGCGAGAAGGTTCTAGTCTACCTTCCATTGCTTTGTCTTTATTTTTCTCATTAATACAAATGAAAATATGAAGCAAGATTCACACTGGGGCTACATCCATCGACTGTAGGCCACAAGTTAGCTACAGACAGGCATACACTGAAGGTGGCTGGTAACTTTCAGGGAAACGCAATCGGCCATGAGGACTGTATAACAATTAGCATTACATACTTAGTTTTTATAAATTATATTTAAAGTGTCTTTTATATCATTAACATTTATGGTAAACATATGCACTGACATTTATTAATCATCCCCCAGAACAATTTGTCCAGTGTTTAATAGTATTCCCCTACAGGTATTTCTTTTTCTTTTCTTCTTTTTTGTTGTGAAAACATATGTGAGTGTTTTGTCTGAATGCATGTCTGTACACATGTGTGCCTGGTGCCTGAGTCGGCCAAAAGGGGCTTAGGAACTGGAGTTACAGACAGCTGTGAGCTGTCAAATGGGTGTTTTGTGAATCAAACCCAGGTCCTCTGGAAGAACAATTAACCACTCTTAACCACTGAACCATCTCTTCGTCTCCTCTTTTAAGCACAGGTCTTGATCTGCAAGTACCCAAGTGGTCCTTACAAGTGCTGAGCAAGTATTAGTTAATATATGTATATATTATATATAATGGGGAAATTTAATGTTCTGTGCATGTCTTACTTGTCTGCCTCCCTTCATGTAGCAGTGATTTCAAGGTTTTAAAATGGATTTCTTTTTATGAGAGGGTTCTAAAGTTTGTATGGGAGAGCAGATGCGACTAACAGTCACAAAGTTTCTGCAGCATAGCAGGGCTTTAGGAGCGGGGAGTTTATCACTGTTGGTGTCTGGGCTACAGCATCAGCTGGGTCCCACTTGGTTTATTGGTCCATGCTTAGAGGAAAACGTGAGGATTAAGAAATGGTAGGTAGGATAAACAAGGATACAAAAGAAAAGACAGAGACACAGGATAGAGTTGGGAAGGCATCCAGGAAGTACTGTGATTTGACCTGCATTTGTTTCTTAAAAACTTTAAATACCCCAACCCAAAGAAGGGGGGGAGACAAAAGACTTCTTTTTTCGTTTGTTTGCTTGTTTTGTTTTTTGAGACAGGGTTTCACTGTAGCTTTGGAGCCTGTCGGGAGGATCTCTGTGAGTTCCAGGCCAGTATTGTAATGGTATGTCCAGTCCCTTTAAGAGACAAGTCCCCTACTCCCCTTACCCAGTCCCCTGAGGCAAGAAGATCTTCCTTCTGTTTCCAACCTGAGTTCCTTCCTTTCCATCTCTCTCTCTCCCTTTTTTCCCTTCTCCCCTTTCTTTTCCTCCCCCGCCTCTGTTTCTCTTTCTCTTTCCCTCTCTGCCTCTCTCTCTGCTCTCCCCCCTTCTCCCCTTTTCCTTTCCCCTCCATAACCCACTAAATAAATACTCACTTTCCCTGCATAGCATGCCTAATAGGTCTCTATCTCTAATCTGCTGTGCAGCTACCTGGCTGGGACCAGCTGCCTTCATGGCCCACTGTGGTCTCGTGACCTGCTGCTCACTGCAGCCACTCGGGGAATGGCTGTTTTATTTTTACCATAAATTTGGTGCCTGTGACTTGGCCAGGCTCTCTCCATGTTCCCTCCGGCCTGCAGGTGGGTCGGTTGAGGAAATATGAAACCTTGGACTCCAGAACCAGGTTTCTTTACAAGAGCTCTGCATTCTATCTGCCTAAACACTGACCTCTATGCACACCAGTGGCTTTGGTGGTGAGTTTTCCCCTTCCAGCCCCCATCCTTTAATATGGCGGTTCCCAACCTTCCTAATGCTGTGACCCTTTAATATGGCGGTTCTCAACCTTCCTAATGCTGTGACCCTTTAATACAGTTCCTCGTGTCATGTGACCTCAACCATAACATTATTTATTTTTATTGCTACTTCATAACTGTAACACTGCTACTGTTATGAATCGTAATATAAATATTTGATACACAGGATATCTGACATGGGATCCCAAAATGGGTCACAACCCACAGGTTGAGACCTACTGTAGGAAACAGAGACTTGGAGATTTCTAATAAGAACTTTGGGTTGTGTTTATATTTCCTCTCCTCTTGGAAGCTAAGCAGGGTTAGACCTGGCTAGTATCTGAATGAGAGACAGTCCAAAAAGCCTTGTTGGATTAACTTAAAGAGCATTTATGGATTATCCATGGGTGGCTGAGAGGAAAACTGTCTTGATATGTGCCAGGGACTGTCCTAGACACATTCAGGCTCACAGCAGCCCTATGGAAGAGACACAGTTACTGTTCCTTTTTTACAGATGAGACGTGAGATACAATTGGCCAGTTGACATCCTAAGCGTAGGAGAGGGTCTGGCAGGGCACTCTGGCTCCATGGCCAGTGTTCCGAGCAACTTCACAAGGCTATTTTATGATGGTATACTTGGCACTGACATTTCTGGAAGCAAGTAAGCCATCTCATTAATGCCCACATCAAAACGTTTAATTTGCTACAATCACATCTCACCAACAGAGGTCTACAATCGCCCCTGTTCTGCACAACCCCATGGGTGAGAACGCTCAGGAACAGGGCAGGGGTGACTGAGGATGCCGTTTCACACATGACTTGAAAAACAGAAAGCTGCAAGTTAAAGGATTGTTTGTCAGACCAAGTGAAGACACTGTGTTCCTGTTCCCTTAGCAGCTTGGTGGCTGGACTCCAGAAACAGAGGTATAAAAGGGCAGTGGCTGGGTACTTACGAAACATTGGCACCATGGCTTCTAGACCAGGACTGAAAACATCACAGCCTTGGCCATGCCCCACAAGGCTTACCCCAGATTCTCTTGGGAGGAAATGACAGCGGGAACAACATGTCTCAGAGGGACACAAACTCCTCCCACTTACACCAAGTTGCAGTACCAGTAGGAGTATAGATCTGCCTGAGCTGGTTTCCATGAGAACAGTGCACCTTCATGGCACTCCATATCAGGGACTTGGGTACCTCCACCAAACACCACCAGGTTCCTTCTGTCACCAGTATAGGCAGTCACATGGTTGTGGGGTAGTTCCAGTTACCAGTTGGGGTAGAAAAACTCTCAGGAGTGGAGGCTGGGCATAGATAGAGGAAGAGTGAGAAAAGAGAGACAGAATGAACTAGAACAAAGCACAATGAGACATAGATGTGAAAATACCATAAGGTAAGCATCACACTGTGTAGCCCAAAATTAATAGTAGTGAGGCTGGCAAGGTGACTCCGTCAGCAATGACTGTGCCTCCAGAGCATGAGGACCTGAATTTGGATCCCTGCTACTCATGTAAGAAGTCGGGCACAGTGGCAAGTGCCTGTGACCCCAGGACTGGGAGTGGGGGACAGGTGGATGCTGGTCATTGGCCAGCTAGCCGAGCTTAATCAATAACTTTCAGGCTCAAAGGGACCCCGTGTCTACAAATACAGGTATAGAGTGATCCAGGGAAGATGGCTGATGTCTACCTCTGGCCTTCACGGACCTATGCCGTACATACACACACCTACACTGAACATACAAACACCTACACGAGCAAATGCACATACCACCTACCCACGACAGCTATAAAATAATAATAATAATAATAGTAATAATAATAATAATAATAATAATAATAGTGCTTGGGCTTGAGACCCAGAAGAAAATGATGGAGGCCTTTTTATTTTTCCAAATGATTTTTTGGTATGGTGCTTCCATTGAAATCAGTTTCCTGGGCTAGAAACGTGGCTGCCCAGTGGTAGAGCACTTCCCTAGCAAGGCCATGGGTAGATCCCAGGGCGGTGAATAATTAATTAACTTAACCCAGCAAGTGCCTGCTGTCCCAAGAAGGTGGATTCCAGGTCTATGTTAATCTAAGAAACCTGAGCAGCGCCAGGTGTGGGGAGTGGGGTGCTGGCTGAGGACTTTCTCAGTCTCTGCAGTGCTACAGCGGAGCAGCCAGACTGGAGTCATCTGAGTGAGGCATTTGACCTCTGTCCATCCCTCCCTCAGAGGAACACAAACTCCTCCCACTTACACCAAGTTGCAGGCTTCTGTTTCTTTTCTTTTTTAATATTTATTTATTTATTGTGTTCTGTCTGTGTGTATGCCTGCAGGCCAGAAGATGGCACCAAATCTCACTACGGATGGTTGTGAGCTGCCATGTGGTTGCTGGGAATTGAACTCAGGACCTCTGGAAGAGCAGCCAGTGCTCTTAAACTGTGAGACACCTCTCCAGCCCCTGGCCTTCTGTTTCTAGAGCACAACAAGCTGTTCCCCACTGCCAACCCTTTGCTCAAGCTGTGCCTCCTTAGGACTGTAGCTCTCAGGTGTCTGTGCCAGTTCCTCATTCAGGCTAGCCTCTGCGTTCTCATTCAGGCTAGCCTCTGCGTCCTCATTCAGGCTAGCCTCTGCGTTCTCATTCAGGCTAGCCTCTGCATTCTCAGTGAAAGCCATTCTCTAGAATGAGTTTGGTTTTTGTTTGGGCATGGTCTTGCTCAGCAGCCCACATCTGCCTTAAATTTATAATCACCCTGATTGAGCCTCCAGAATATTTAGGATTACTGGTGTGTGTCATCATGCCTCATTCACTTTTGCTTCTGATTCTTCCTCCTCTCCCCCTTCACCTCCTTTTCCTCTTTCTCTTCCTCTTTTTTTAAAACAAGATTTCCTGTTCTATAATGATCCCTCTCTAGTGTTCTGTGAGCTCTATGCTCCTCTCACCACCAAGAGCCTCAGACTTAAAACTATGTACACAGTTAGTGCACCATCAGTGGCCATTGTACACAGTCAGTGCACCATCAGTGGTCATTGTACACAGTCAGTGCACCATCCGTGGTCATTGTACACAGTCAGTGCACCATCCGTGGTCATTGTACACAGTCAGTGTGTCATCCGTGGTCATTGTACACAGTTAGTGCACCATCAGTGGCCATTGTACACAGTCAGTGTGTCATCCGTGGTCATTGTACACAGTCAGTGCACCATCCGTGGTCATTGTACACAGTCAGTGCACCATCCGTGGTCATTGTACACAGTTAGTGCACCATCCGTGGTCATTGTATACAGTCAGTGCACAATCCGTGGTCATTGTACACAGTCAGTGCACCATCCGTGGTCATTGTACACAGTCAGTGCACCATCTGTGGTCGTTGTATACAGTCAGTGCACCATCCGTGGTCATTGTACAGAGTCAGTGCACCATCAGTGGTCATTGTATACAGTCAGTGCACCATCCGTGGCCATTGTACACAGTCAGTGCACCATCCGTGGTCATTGTACACAGTCAGTGCACCATCAGTGGTCATTGTATACAGTCAGTGTGTCATCCGTGGTCATTGTATACAGTCAGTGCACCATCCGTGGTCATTGTATACAGTCAGTGCACCATCAGTGGCCATTGTACAGAGTCAGTGCACCATCCGTGGTCATTGTATACAGTCAGTGCACCATCAGTGGTCATTGTACACAGTCAGTGCACCATCCGTGGTCATTGTACACAGTCAGTGCACCATCCGTGGTCATTGTACACAGTCAGTGCACCATCAGTGGTCATTGCACACAGTCAGTGCACCATCCGTGGTCATTGTACACAGTCAGTGCACCATCCGTGGTCATTGTACACAGTCAGTGCACCATCAGTGGTCATTGCACACAGTCAGTGTGTCATCTGTGGCTGTATATATACTGTGTATATACTGTGATACCTTATCCAGTCCCACCCATGTTTTTGCCCTCTACAACCGCAGGAAAAAGATAGGCGAGAGCTGGAAACACCAGGTCATACCAGAATACCTCATATAGCAGGACCAGCCCTGAGAGCTCCTGCCTGATTTGGAGGTGAGAAAGGGGCCCATTCTTTTTTCTTTTCTTTCTGTCTTTTTTTTTTTGTGCGTGTGTGTGTGGGGGGGCTAGTTCTAGACAGGGTTTCTATTTGTGTATTCCTGGCTGTCCTGGAACTCTCTCTCTGTAGACCACGCTGGTCTAGAACTCTTAGAGACCTGCCTGACTCTGGGATTAAAGGCATGGGCCACCATCACCCGGCAAGAGGCCCATTTTTATGTCCCCTCATTTGAGAAAGGCAAGTGCCCTTCAGGTTTACCATACAAAGGAAAAGTCCCAGATGCGAGAGCTAGCTCATACTGACAGTAACTGAGGTCAGAACCTGAGGTCCTCAATTCAAAAAGGCGCTTTTTTTTGCCCTCCTCCTACACTGAGACTCCAGATCTGGGCAGAGACCTGAGTCCAGGGAGATGCCCCCAACCAGCTGAGTGATGTGGGGTAGGATAACCTGGGTCTCAAGTCAGAAGTGTGACAGGGAGGAACATTCAAGGTGAGCATCCTCTCAGGAACTGGGCTAGAAAGAAATCAGTAGACAGAGCTCACTGAGCTCAGAACCCGGGATGACCCTCCTCATACCCAAGCACATTCAGTGCTGCTGCTGGGAAGTAGGAATCCTAAGGCCCATTCCAGGGTTCACATCCCAGGGGTTCAGGGGCTCTACATCCAGACCATGTGAACATGGCATTCCAAGGAAGAGGGGGCCAGGTGACCAACAGAGGGCAGATGAGAGCCTGGAGCACCCAGCACTTGTGTCCTCCTGAGCTGAGTCATCCCCATCTGGTCCCGGGTAGCGCAGAGTACACAGGAGCAGAGCTCAGGACCTGTGCACACGCACACGGGTAACAACCCCCTCCCCAGCCCTGTGTAGGCTTTATCACCTGCAGCTGTTTGCTGGCCTCATGGCCTCCTTGCCTCCAGGAAGTCCCATTCTGGTTCCTTTAAGTTTGCCGGGCCTCACCCTAACCAGCATTTCATGAAACTAATCCTGCCAGCCTGCCCGCCATTATACCATGATGGATGTCATCTTACCCTGACTAGGAGTACATGCTCCCTAATTGCTGAGTTCAGATGAGTGTGAGGGATTGGTCTCCGGTGTCACCTTTGGGTCCTCCTGCATTGTCTCTCTCTCTCCCACACCAGCCATACCTCACATTTGACCCTGTTTCTCTTTTGAACAACAAAAGGCAGGTGTGAGGATCTGTTCCATAGTCTGGAGACAGCCAACGGTGGAGGGACCTATGGGCACAAAAGTTGGTACCAGTTCATATGGAACTTTCCTGGGGCTCCCCAGGCTTTCAGGCTTCACCGCATTCCAAGACACCTTGACATGCAGTACCTCCTCTGGAGCCAAGGGCCACGTTCACAGCCTCCAACAAGAGAATGTTGCTGGGCCTGGAGAGATGGCTCAGTAGTTAACAGCACTTGCTATTCTTGCAGAAGACCTGAGTTCAATCCCTGGCACCTACATTTGGCAGCTCATAACTGAATGTAACCTTCTTCTGAATTCTGGGGCAACTGTACACATGTGTATATAAAAACATAAATAAAAAGAGAATATTTTTTTTTAAAAAAGCCGGGCAGTAGTGGCTCACATCTTTAATCCCAGCCCTCGGGAGGCAGAGGCAGGCAGATCTCCATGAGTTCAAGGTCAGCCTGGTCTACAAGAGCTAGTTCCAGGACAGGCACCAAAAACTACAGAGAAACCCTGTCTTGAAAATCCGAGAGAGAGAGAGAGAGAGAGAGAGAGAGAGACTCCAAGTTTTAGAACATTTTGGCCAAAGGCTATAATCTGTTTTTCCCTTTTTTGAAGAAAATAAATTAAAATATATGCACATGCTTTTTATTAGTGTAGATATCTTAGACAAAACTGTAATCTTGGAAGGAGGTCCACACTATTATAGAAAAGTGAATTTCTGACAGAAGCAAACTGAGCACCATAATTATAAACAGAAAGACCATGCTGGAGGACAGCGGAAGTTAGCTAAGGGTGTACAATGTATCTGAGAAGTTCTTCAGCCTCATCCTCTCCCCCCTCCTCCTCGAACTCCTGCTCATCAGCGGTGGTATCCTGGTACTGCTGGTACTCAGACACCAGGTCATTCATGTTGCTCTCTGCCTCCGTGAACTCCATCTCGTCCATGCCTTCACCCGTGTACCAGTGCAGGAAGGCCTTGCACCCGAACGTGGCAGTGAACTGCTCCGAGATGCACTAGAACAGCTCCTGGATGGCGGTGCTGTTGCCAATGAAGGTGGCAGACATCTTGAGGCCCCCAGGAGGGAAGTCACACACGGTCATCTTGACGTTGTTGGGGATCCACTCCACAAAGTAGCTGCTATTCTTGTTCTGCACATTGAACACCTGCTTGTCTACCTCCTTCATGCCACGGAAGACGGCAGACACCGTCAGGTAGCGACTATGGGGCAGGTCACAGGCAGCCATCATATTCTTGAAGTCGAACATCTGCTGAGTGAGCTCAGGCACTGTCAGGACTCGGTACTGCTGGCTGCCCCTGCTGGTCAGGGCTGCGAAGCCTGGCATGAAGAAATGCAGGTATGGGAAGGGCACCATATTCAGGGCCAGCTTGTGCAGATCTGCGTTCAGCTGGCCTAGGAAGTGCAGGCAGGTGGTTACCCCTGCTCATGGTGGCTGACACCAGGTGGTTGAGGTAACCATATGTGGGTGTGGTCAGCTTGAGGGTGCGGAAGCAGATGTTACACAGGGCCTTGTTGTCAATGGAATAGGTTTCAGCTCTGTTCTCCACCAGCTGACACACGGAAAGGGTGACATTATAGGGCTCCACCATGGTGTCAGACCCCTTGGTAAGGGCATGACACTGGAGGTGTTCATTATGTGGACTGGGTACTCCTCTCGGATCTTGCTGATGAACAGGGTCCCCATGCCTGAGCCTGTGCCTCCCCCCAGTGAGTGGGTCAGCTGGAAGCCCTGGAGACAGTCACAGCTACAGACTCCTTCCTTACTACATCCAGGACAGAGTCCACCAGCTCAGCACTAGTGGCCCCTTTGCCCAGTTATTTCCTGCACCACTCTGGCCAAACCCAAATTGTCTGGCCTGAAGATCTGGCCAAAGGGTCCTGACCTCACTGAGTCCATGGTGCCCGGCTCCGGGTCCACCAGGATGGTCTGAGGTACATATTTGTGGCCAGCAGCTTCGTTGTAGTACACATTGATTCTCTCCAGCTGCAAGTCACTGTCACCATGGTAACTGCCAATGGGGTTGATGCCACGCTCGTCGCTTATCATCTCCCACAATTTAGGGCCAATCTGGCTGCTGCACCGGCCTGCCTGAATGCGCACTGTCTCAGGCATGGCGCTGGCCCTCGGAGCAGTGGTGGATCGAGGGCTAAGGAGCAACAAGACCTCAAGGGCTGGAATCTGAAGGCTCAGATTCATCCCTAATGGAGGTGGGGGTAATGTGGGGGGGGGCTGAGATGTGTGTGGGTGTGCGTGGGAGGGGGAGGTGAGGAGGGATGATGACTCCCGCAGATGAGGATCTTAGTCGTGACCTGGAAGCCCACACTGGTTTTCTAGTGTCCTTTCAGGATTCCAGGACCCTGAGGTCTCCTTGTGGGGTGTCTCCGCTAGCGCTGTTCACAGTGTGTGGTTCTCCCAAGGGGAAGTCTTCAGCCTCTGTCTGAAATTCACACCCTCAGGGAGCATTGTTCTAACCACAGTGCACACGGTTGGAGCTCCAACTTGGTGAGCCTGATCCAAAATTCTTTCAGGGAAGTAGAGACCAGACTGAGCTGCAGAGCAAGGCTCTAGCGGAAGATGAAAGGGTATGAATATCTTGACTTTCCCTATTCCCGTCCATTGGTTGGGAAAGTTTCCTGTTGATCCTAATACAGGGGTTTGCACCTTGACTTAATTATCTCTGTAATTAGCATCATTTCAGCTACGAAGGCTTAGGCGTTGAAAGGGATTAAGATCAAAGTCTCCTTCATATGTGGAGTCTGAGAAGCCCCAAGTAGAACTGGAAAAATCCCGGAGAGTTGGATTCCCCACCCCAAAGTCTCCTCCAAGTCAGTCCTCCTGAGGAACCAAAGCAGGTCCGGTGGGAGAGGCAGAGAAGGAAAGCAGAAGATGGAGAAGGTCTGCACTGTGCACATGCTCCGTGATGGACAAAAGAGCTCTGCCTCCCTCCAACAGCTGCTTCCCCTTCCTTGTGCCAGAGATGAAGGTCAACATGCCTTACCTGTGTTGTTCACATATGGTGGGAGTCTAACATTTGAGTTCACATCCCATGTCTCTGCATTGGTGTTAAATCGGCCACCTCAGTCCCTTATCCCAAGCCATGCTGAGACAACCAGGTCAGAATGAAGTCATCAAATCTGATTGCCTTTCACTTACTTGTTAGAAAAGATCACAGACAGCCAATAGGGCAGAGTGGTAGGGAAAACCAATCCAGTTCTGTAGATGCTGCTCCCTTTACTGTCTTGACACCTAACACCAGTCACAGCGGGTGCTCCTGTCAGATGCCCATCTGCAGACACAGCCCTGGGCACCACATGGAGAAAGAAGAGCAAGGGAGAAGGGAGGCAATGCTTACCCCTCTAGAAAGTATTTGTTCCTTGTTTATTAATTTATGAACAGGGTCTGACATAGCCTATTTCGGACAAGAACTCATGATCCTCCTGCCCCGACCTCCCAGGTAGGGATATGAATGACATGCAGTAGCATCATGCTGCAATGAGGAGACATTTTAATGAAGACCTGGGCTCTGACTCCCCTGAGAGTCCAGATGTGGTCTTTAGGGTTTGCATCCCAATGGAGAAAGGCTTCTTAGTTTTGGGACTAAAGACAGTGCAGAAATCTAGAGTGGGAACAGAAAGGCCTTCAAGGATTATAGGACAGTCAGTGTCCCAACTCAGAACAGCAGTGGATTCCCTGCCAATCTGGTCCTTAGCCCCAGATCTCTAACCCAGGCCTCACTTCCTCTGTCTGCAGGAGGTAGCCTTTAGTCTTTGAAGCTGCAGGTGCCTGAGCAGCTGCAGGGGCTGCCTGTGGGGTAGAGAAAGAAGCAGTGAGATAGAGACCCAGGCAGGAGCCAGGAAACAACCCCTGAGGCCAGCACTCACAGCTGTGCCTGTCTGGGCCTTGCTCTTCCTGTTCCAGACTGAACACACAGAAGCATGCCACTGGGCCCCTGCCCCCTTGCTTGCTGGGAAGCACAGTCATTCTCAGGCGGTTTTCCTGCTGGGAAAGAAAGCAAGATGCTCCAGTCACTGTGGGTGCAGACAGGTGGTGATGGACAGATGAGAATCCACTCTTTCCTCCCCAGAAATGAGAGCCTTGAGAGAAGAAAGGGGACAGGAAAGTTGATAAGCTCCAAAGTTTGGTGAAGCTGATGAGAGAAAAAAAGAGAGAGAAAGACAGAGAGAGAGAAAGAGAGAGAGAGAGAGAGAGAGAGAGAGAGAGAGAGAGCTAGCAAGACATAGTAAGGAGTCCACTTTATTCAGATATAAAAATGTGTCCACTGAAGTCACTTACCAGAGTGGCACTGGAGCAGCTGGGTCCATTTCCAATGAAACTGAGTTGAAATCCAATGGAACCAGCACAAAGTCAAGATTCTGGGAGGAACTTGGAAGCCCAGGAACCTGCCTGCTCACTTTATACTTAAGGCCACCATGGATGTGCAACAGTCCTGCCCTGACGTTGCCCCCACATCTCAGCTGGCCTGTAGCTGTCTGTGCTGTGCAGAAGGTGCAGTGAGGACCCACTCTTCTGCTCCCTCATTGCAGAAGGACAAACAAACTCTCGTATTAACCCACAAAGGAAAAGTCACACACGCAAGAGCCAGACCAGCATGACAGCGATTTAGGATATGACCCGAGGTCTTCATACCCCCAAAGGCACCTCCTCAACCTTCTATCCACTCCAGGTCTGCACCTACCTCTGGGTGCAGCCAGCAGCACCTGGCCAGTTCAGCGATGTCCTTGAAAGGAGAAGGGGTGTTGGGGGGGGGAGCGGATATATGAACTCTGGACCCCAATTCCTGAATTTTAACAAGACTAGATGGGCAAGGTGGCCCTGCCTTCAGGAGATTTACCAGAAAGCAAGCAGTGGACAAAATGAGTCCACTCAGTTCAGAACATAAGATGTGACCTCTTCTGGCTCAGTCACATGGCAGCTGGGAACTGAGCATCCTAAGGCCTTACACCATGCTGGAAGTCCTAAGTAACCATTTGAGAAGGCTCAGGTCCCACTAGGCGGTGAGTTAGGACAGAATAAGACTGGAAGCTTCCATATTTGCACTGGGCCCATTGAAACCCACAGCACTCTTCCCAGCACAGGTGAACTGAGACCTTCATCACACAACTAGTTGAGCTGAGCGTGAGCTTCTCCCCAGCTGCAGTCTCTGCTTGCAGAGTGCACCTGGCCAGGATGTTCCTTCTGAGTTGGCCCCTGGGCAGTTGGCAGGAGGCAGGGTTTTTAACTCAGCTCTAATCTGTGTGCAGTCATTCAGCTTCTTTTTGTGGTTCTAGCAAATTCGATAGTGGAGGTGGTGGGGGTGTTTGCTGATGTCACCTTGGCTTCTAATACATTGCCTGTCTTTGTTCCTGCCTCTGTCTTTGGTCTCTTTTCTATTGTATCCAGTATATTGTATCCAAAAAGAGAAGACACAGTTCTTTGTCTCTGTTCTACATTGTCCATGCAGTAGATAGACAAGCAGAGCTTCTTGGCCTAAAACTATAGCAATGAGCCCTTCCCGGTCCATAGACAGTTTTTTATGCAAAGCACTTCATTTAGAGCCAGAAGATTATATACATGGGCAGCTGCCTCCAATCCCTGATCATGCCACTGGGATTTGAAAGAGAAAATTCATCCTGACTTTGTAACAAACTTACACACAAGTCCCAGCAGAGGAGGCCTACCAGGGAGTGTTCCAGTGCTGCTGGACTCTATCCCTGAGCTCCTTCCTGATCTCTGGGCAGTGCAGCTTCAGATACATGCACACAGTCACTCCATGAGCAGCAGTGAGGACTGGTTACATTAGATTCCCTGAGTCTTCATATGTTTATTGCTTTCCTGTGGAATCTTCAATATCTGGTTTTCAAACTCTTAGATTTTTTTTTTTTTTTTTTTTACCAATAGTAGCATTTGAGAAACAGCAGGCTTGAGGTGCATAGAAAATAATAACTGTAGGGGCTAGGTATGTGGCTCAATGAGTAAAGTGCTTGCTGCTCAACCTTGGGGACCTGGATTTGAATCCCCAGCTCCTACATGAAAAGCCAGGAGTGGTGGTACAAGTTTGTCACCCCAGTGTTGAGCTGAGAATGGGTGGAGTGAGCTGGGTACCCAGAATAGCTGGACACCCAGCCTGGCAGAAATAAAACAAGTTCTAAATTCAACAGAGATCTTATCTCAAAAAGTAAGGGGGACACTGGGGGGATGGTGACAGAGGCCTTTAATCCCAGCACTAAGGGAGCAGAAGCTGGTGGATCTCTACGAGATTGAGGCCAACCTGGTCTACAGAGTTTCTAGACTGGGTCCTATGCTACACAGAAAAACCCTGTCTCGATAAAAAAGAAAGAAAGGAAGGAAGAAAGAAAGAAAAAAAGAAAGAGAGAGAGAGAGAGAGAGAGAGAGAGAGGGAGAGAAAGGTGGTGTAGAGTGCTCTCTGGTCTCTGGCCTCCACATTCACCAAAAGCCCATGTGTGTGTACATCCACACAAATACCCAAGCACATGTATGTGCACACACGCAGCAAATGTGCATCTACAATCAAACACACACAGCACATGTGTGTGCATAAACACACACACACACACACACACACACACACACACACACACACACCTAAAGTGAAAACAAACTATTAAGAACCTCTAAGGATGAGATATCTGTGTGGTTGGTGTCCCAATTTGTGAGCACCTTTATTCTGAGATAGGGTCAAATGTAGCTCAGCCTCTTTTGAATGCGGACCATCCTGCTCTTACTTCTTAATGCTGAGATTACAGGCTGAGCCACACCTGATTCTACATCACATTTAAGTGGCCTGGGAGCACAGTTAATCTTGTAATATAAGGTCCTTGGGAAACTGAGGCAGGGGAACCAAAACTTCAAGGCCAGACTGGGCTGGAAATTCTTGACGAACCTAAGAAACTTGTTGAGATCTGTTGTCAATGCCAACATCAAAGACCGTCTAACATCTGTTCACCAAGAGAAAAAAAGGTTCACTGGGAAGACCCAGTGTTTCTCTCAGAACTCTCCATCCCTATGTAACCCACAGTGTGAGCTTAAACTGGATTAGAAAGAAAATGTGAATAAAGGATTGAGCCATTTCTGTGCCGTGAGGGTGGGATTCTATGTATCTACACACATACACACCATACACACAGATACATAGACATAACCCGAGACACAGCTGCTGTCTTCCTTTGAGAGGAAGCTCATGACATAATTTGACTTTACCCTAACACACTTCTCCTTCCTTTGGAGCTGGGGTTGAAGAGGTTAAGGGACAAGAACCAGATCCCTGTCCTATCAAGTTCATCTGTCACCCAGTTCCTTATTTCTAAGTCACACACAAAAAAATCAGAGTAAGAATCAAATTGGCTGTTTATTCACATATTTCACAGAAAAATGAGGTTTAGTTATCAGTGTAGCACTGTCTGAGAAACTCCGGGTTGGTCCACACTGTTTGCACCTCGGAGCTTCGCTGTCCTCTGTCCTCCCATCAGGCACAGCACGTGCACTTGTCAGAAGCCCCTTTGCAGACACAGCCCTGGGCACACTTGGAGCAGCCCACAGGGCAGCAGGAGCAGCAGCCTGGAAACAAAGGAGAGGAAGAGGTCAGAGCTGGTGTCCTAGGCCCTCCTGTCACACAGGCCCTGCTGAAGACCTACTTCTTGTCCAACAGGATAGGGGAGGGGTTGTCTTAGAAGAGCTCTGCCTAGAGCTACTACAGTGGTCCTGGGAGCTGTAGGGCATAGTGCTTGGAGAAAGAGCTGAACTGCCCTGGGCAGCAAAGGACATTTCTCAGAGCCAGCTCTGTGTGTGTTCCGGCTGAACCTTAGCCCCCACCCCAGCTATCCTTCCCCACTCACTCTTCTTGCAGGAGGTGCACTTGCAGTTTTTGCAGCCACAGGAGCTAGAGCAGGTGCAGGAGCTGCCTGTGAAGGAGAAAAAGACAGCAGAGAATAGAGAGTCATGCAGTGTCCCAGCAGGGCCAACACCATGTGCCCAGCTCAGTTCACTAAATCCTATTAGGACTCAAGGAAGCCTACTTCTCACAGGGCAGGGCTTGAGACTTTAATTCCTGAGTCTCAAAGATCCCTCACCTCTCTCCTTGTCTAGGCAATTCATAATATGCTTAATAATGCCTGAGGCTCACCCAGATGCCCCCCACTACCTGGGTGATCAGGAGCTAGACATTTGTGCGACTAAATACCACCTGCAGCCCTGACAAAGCAGCCGTTCTGACAATATTCATACTCCAAGGATAGAAGAAGGAGCTTGCAAAGGGGAACACTAAAATGAACTACTCTGAATCTACAACTAAAGCTGCTATTCCCACCACTACTCTGGACTACATCTCCATGACTACAGGAATCCTGTCTGAGATCCTTACTGGCAATTTAAACAGCAAGAACTGGGTGTCTCTTACCAGTGGAGCAGGCACAGTTGGGGTCCATTCCAAGATCTGGTGAAGGTGGAGCTACAGAGCAAGGAACTAGGAGGCAGTCGGGCTGCTGGAGTCATGGTGCTCCCTAGCAGGCAGCTGCTTTCTTATAGTCCTGGGACCGGTCCGGGTGCAGAGTTTGCACCCAGCCATCAGTTGCACTTGTCTCTGCTGAGTCACACGAAGTCATGCACCCTAACTGCTGAGCTCTGATGAGCTGTGGAGCATGGTCCCTGCTGTCACCTGCATGGAGTCCTCCTGCATTGTCTGTCTCTCCCACACCAGCCATACAGCACATTTGGCCATGTTTCTCTTTTGTACCACCTAAGGCAGGTGTGGGGATCTGTTCATGATCCTCCTGCATCGACCTCCCAGGTTGGAATATGAATGATGTGCCTACAGTACTATGCTGCAATGAGGGGGCATTTTAATGAAGACCTGAGCACTGATTGCCCTGAGATCCCAGATATGAACTTTAGGGTTTGGTACCTAAGAATAGTGCAGAAATGTTGGAGTGGGAGCAGAATGGTCTTCAGTGTTGTCAGCCAATGTCAACCGATGTCAACACAATGGAATTGACAGTCAATGTCAGCAACCAGTTTCAGCTGAATGGAAGCTTGATAAGATTCAAAGTGAGATGAAGCTAATGAGAGAGAGAGAGAGAGAGAGAGAGAGAGAGAGAGAGAGAGAGAACCAGCAACACATGGCAAGGAGCCCACTTTATTCAGAAATGGAAATGTGTCCACTGAAGACCTTTACCAGTGTGGCACTGGGGCAGTTGGGTCCATTTCCAATGACAATGAGTTGGGATCCAATGGAACCAGCACAAAGTCAGGCTTTAGGAGGCACATGGAAGCCCAGGAACCTGCCTGCTCACTTTATACTTAAGGCCACCATGTGTGTGCATATATTGTGTGTAGACGTTGCCCCCACATCTCAGCTGGCCTGTAGCTGTCTGTGCTGTGCAGAAGGTGCAGTGAGGACCCACTCTTCTGCTCCCTCATTGCAGAAGGACAAACAAACTCTCGTATTAACCCACAAAGGAAAAGTCACACACGCAAGAGCCAGACCAGCATGACAGCGATTTAGGATATGACCCGAGGTTTTCATTTGCCAAAAAGTTTCTCCTCAGCCTTCTATCTACCCTAGAGCCACCCCGGGTATGCACAGACCTCTGGGTGCAGCCAGCAGCACCTGACCAATGATGTCCTGGAAGGGAGAAAGTGTGTGTGTGTGTGTGTGTGTGGGATATGAACTGTATACCTCAGTCCTTGAACTTTAACAAAGCTAGACAGCCTTCAGTAGCTCAACCAGAAAGTAAGCAGAAAACAAAGTGAATTCACTCAGTTCAAAACACGAGATGTGACCTCTTCGGCCTCAGGCCCGGTCTGTACTGAGAATTCTAAGGCCCATCCCAGGTATCAAACACTAAGCAACATTTAGAAGAGGTTGAACACCCCCCACCCCCACCCCCCACCCCCCGGTGGCCTTAGTAAAGAAGAAGCCTGGCAGCTTCCAGGTCTGTACTGGGCCAGGTGCAATGGCCCCGCCTCCTGGCAGCAGCAGTGACCTGGTGCCCACAGTCACACTAAGGGGTGTGTCTGAGCTGAGTGCAATCTTCCAGATGAGCGCAGTCTCTGAGTGCAGAGTGCACACGGAGCAGGTGTTTCTTGTGGGGACTTCCTCAAACAGCCCGCAGGAGGTGGAGTTTTGCGCTCAGCTCTTAGCTGTGTGCAATCATTCCAGCGTCTGCTGGCCTGTTCTAGCAAATTCGCTGGGCATCCCCTCCCTCTTAGATTTCCAAGAACCTAGTCGGGAACAATTCCCACACTCAGCCCTGCACTATGGAGGTCACTTTGGTTATCAAAGTCTCTTTACCTTATCTGGAGATGCAAGTGTGAGTTGGAGAAATGTTTATTGATGTCACCCTTGTTTCTACCACGTGGCCCGTCTTTGTCCCCGCCCCTGTCTTTGGTTTCATTTCCCTTGTACCCAGTGAGAGGACAGACACAGGACTTTGTCTCTCTCTGTCTTCCACTTTCCATGCAACAGATAAACAAAATGTGTTCGTGGCTAAAAATAGCCAGTGAGCCCTCCGCAGTCCACGCTAAGCACTTCGTTTAGAGTCAGGTGATTCCATGCGTGCGCAACTTCCTCCAATCTCTGGTCATGCTGCTGGAATTTGAAAGTGGAAATTCATCCTGACTTTGCAAGGAGCTTGCACTCAGTCCCAGCAATGAAGCCCTCCGGGGGGCAGTCTAGTGCTGTTGGGCTCCATCCCTGAGCTCCTCCCTGATCTCTGGGCAGTGCAGCTCAAGATATATGCACACAGTCACTCCATGAGCAGCAGTGAGGACTGGTTACATTAGATTCCCTGAGTCTTCATATATCTATTGTTTTCCTGTGGAATCTTTAATATCTGGTTTTCAAACTCTTAGAATTCCTTTTTTTTTTTTTTTTTTTTTTTACCAATAGTACCATTTGTGAAACTTCAGGTTTGAGGTGCATAGAAAATAATGACTGTAGGGGTTAAGTATGTGGCTCAATGAGTAAAGTGCTTGCTGCTCAAGCTTGAGGACCTGAGTTTGAATCCCCAGCTCCTGTATGAAAAGCCAGGAGTGATGGTCCAAGTCTGTCACCCCAGTGTTGAGCTGAGGGGTTGTGTGGGAGTGGTGGGTAACCAAAATAGCTGGCCATCCACTCTGGAAAAAATAAAGCAAGTTCTAAATTCAGCAGCAGATCTTGTCTCAAGCAGTAAGGTCGAAGCTGAGGCAGGGGTGACACAGCCCTTTAATTCCAGCACTAGGGAAGCAGAAGCTGGTGGATCTCTGTGAGTTCACGAACAGCCTGGTCTACAGAGTGAGTCCAGGACAATCTCCTATGTTACACAGAGAAACCCAGTCTTGATTTAAAAAAAAAAAAAAAGTAAATAAGGTAAGTTGTAAAGTGATTGAGGATGATTCCCTATGTCAACCCTGGGCCTCCACATTCACCACAAGCCCATGAATATGTACACACACACAAATACCCAAGCACATGTATGTGCCCACACACACATGCACACACAGCACATGCGCATGCACAAACACATACTTGAGCACATGTGTGTGCATACACACATATACACAAACATACAAAGTAAAAACAAACTATAAGAACCTCTGGCTGGGTCATGTGTCAACTGGGAACTGAGCATCCTAAGGCCCATGCCAGGAACCTTACACCATGCTGGAAGTCTAAGCAACAATTTGAGAAGGCTCAGGTCCCACCGGGTGGTAAGTTAGGACAAAATCAGACTGGCAGCTAACAAATTTGCACTGGGCCCATTGAAATCCAAGGCACTCTTTGCAGAGCAGATGAACTTGTGACCTTCATCACACTCCTGGGTGTGGCTGAGCTGAGTGCAAGCTTCCCCAGGGTGCAGTCTCTGCTTGCAGAGTGCACCTGGCCTTCTGAGCAGGCCCTTGGGTGGCCCGCAGGAGGCGGGGCTTTGCACTCAGCTCTAATCTGGTGCAGTAATTCAGCTTCTCTTTCCTGGTCCTAGAAAATTCGGTGGAGGTGGTGGGGGTGTTTGCTGATGTCACCCTTGCTTCTAACACATTGCCTGTCTTTGTGTCGTTCCCCCCACCTCGCCCCTCTGTCTTGGCCAAATTTCTGTTGTATCCAGTAAGAGGAGAGACACAGTCCTTTGTCTCTGTCCACATTGTCCATGCAGCAGATAGACAAGCATGGTTTCTTGGCCTAAAGCTATAGCCAGTGAGCCCTTCCCAGTCCATGGACGGTTTTGATGCAAAGCACTTCATTTAGAATCAGAAGATTATATACATGGGCAACTTCCTCCAATCCCTGATCATGCCGCTGGAATTTGAAAGAAAATTCATCCTGACTTTTCATGGAACTTGCACCCAAGTCCCAGCAATGGAACCCTCCCAGGGGGTGGTCTAGTGCTGCTGGGTTCCTTCCCTGGGATCCTTCCTGATCTCTGGGCAGTGCAGTTCCAGATATATGCACACAGTCACTCGATGAGCAGCTGTGAGGAGTGGAGTGGTTTGTTTGTTTTTTTTTTTTTTTTTTTTTTGGTTTTTCGAGACAGGGTTTCTCTGTGGCTTTGGAGCCTGTCCTGGAACTAACTCTGTAGACCAGGCTGGTCTCTGGTCTCGAACTCACAGAGATCCGCCTGCCTCTGCCTCCTGAGGGCTGGGATTAAAGGCATGCACCACCATCGCCCGGTGAGTGGTTATTAGATTCTCTGCATCTTCATATATTTATGTTTTCCTACTGAAGCCTCAAAAACTGAGTTTCATGTTTTGGAATTTATTTTTGTACAGATAGTATCATTTGAGAAACATCAGGTTTGAGGTGCATAGAAAATAACTGTATGGGGTTAGGTATGTGGCTCAATGAATAAAGCGCTTGCTGCTCAACCTTGGGGACCTCAGTTCGAATCCCCAGCTCCTACATAAAAAGCCAGGAGTGGCGGTAAAAGTCTGTCACCCCAGTGTTGAGCTGAGGGTGTGTGGAGGGAGGTGGGTACCCAGGGTTTGCTGGCCATGTAACCTGGCAGAAATAAGGAAAGCTCTAAATTCAGCAGAAGATCTTGACTCAAAATATATCATGTGGAGGCTGGGCCTTTAATCCCAGCACTAGGGAAGCAGAAGCCAGTGCATCACTGTGAGTTCGAGGCCAACCAGGTCTACGGAGTGAGTTCAAGGACAACCAGGGTTACACAGAGAAACCCTGTCTCAAGAAGAAGGAGGAGGAGGAGAAGGAGGAGAAGGAGAAGAAAAGAAGAAGAAGAAGAAGAAGAAGAAGAAGAAGAAGAAGAAGAAGAAGAGTGTAAAGTGATAAAGATTCCCTATGTCATCAATCTCTGGCCTCCATGTTCACCAGAATCACATGTGTGTGCACATACACACTCATACAGAAGCACATGTGCATGCACACACACACACACACACACACACACAAACAAGCACATGTATGTGCTTACAGACACACACCCAAAGAGAAAAGGACAATTGAGAACCTCTGAGGATCCAACAATTGGGAGTTGGTTGTCCCACTAT